TGTCTGGTGCTTCGAGTTCTTTGTTTATGAAAAATGGTAGTTTGAAATTAAGTACACCAAGTAGAAGCTTTTTCTATCTTCACAATGATGCCTTTTTGCAGTTCTGAGTGGTCTGACTGCCTTGCAAGCCTCATCTGTTCCCAGTATCCATAAACAATTGCTTTTGTCCCTAGAAGTGAAAAAAGATAGAAGAGGTGGAAACCCCAGGATAACGGGGTCTCTGTTGAATTTCCTTGGCTCAGAAGAGCTGACAGGCCAAGGAAGCCAAGGTTTTAGAAATGTTTCAGACAGAGATGGCAAGGGGTTGGTCACTACAGAAATATGCCAACTAGCATTTGCTGTGCAATGGGCAGTGCCAGGCTGCTTTTGTTTAGTTCACCCTAGTTCTAAACCAGGGGTTGATTCGGGATCTTTTCCCTGTGCTGCTTCTCACGGTGAATGTAGAATCTGCATTCAGAGCAATTACTGTGCTGCAGCCACTGATATCGATTTGTGAAGCTCTCAAGTGCAGATGACTACTTAGCAGGCCCGCCGGTGATTAAAATTTTAGGAAGCTACTTTGTAATAGTACTGTGCGGGTCCTACATTTTTCATAATGTGAGCATCTTCTGCGTAAAGGCATTGGGGTCACTGTCCTGCACTCCCCTTTGCTTTTTAAAATCCTCATTTTCCCAGAAGATCTTTTTTGTGGTTTTTTTCTCTCCTCTTTTTCTTTTTTCAAAACACCCAGACAATTACACCAACAAAACACAAAAAGCTAATCACAAAAATACAATAAGCACCATTCAGCAGAAAGTGTTGCAAGCATATCCCTGGTGTACTGAAGTTTCAGGGAGTATTACAGAAAACCTGAGATTAAAGGGATGGACAAAGGGCATGCCAGCATTTTACCATAAAGTGAAAACATAGACCATCATAAGAAGAAAAGTTTGCGGATATATGAGTGATAGGTTTTTGAGAATGGATGCTGAAAGGGAAGAATAGAGAAATATGAGAACAAAGTGCTGCCGACATAGCTAACAAAAGTGGCTCAGAATAGGGCATGGCAAACTTTTGGACTGCTCTTTCTTTGAAGAGAAATTTCTGAGAGAAATCAGTAACTGGGTGGGTCCCAGAGTATTGTTCACCTGAACCCCTGTTCTTTGCAGGGTGCTTGGTTTATAAGCTATCAAATGCACAGCACTTTTCCTTGTTTAGCTTGTGAAGCATACATTGACCAAGGTTGCATTGGCCATGTGTACAAAAGATAAATAGAGCGGGCAGTTTTGTCAAGTTAGAAACACTGAGTTTGAGGCTTTGGTGTTACCTAGGGCAAATCCAGCATGTAGTTTCCTTGTTCCATGTGTGAAGCTTGTATTTATTGATCACTCTAGTTTTGGTATAAGAACCTTCAAATCCGGTCATCAGTCAGGACTGGAATTTCTTTGTAATCAGTTAGGTTTATTCATTTTGTTTCATACTGATGCCATGGGCTTAATACTGTTACTTCATAATATTCAGGCTTGTAAAAGTACATTGTCCCCCTCAGCTTCTAAGGATGATCCTTTCCCCCCAGCCAAATGAAAAAAAACAAGAAAACCTACAAATAGTGTAGGTGCATGCTCAGTAGTGTTATGATAAATCTGGTTGACATACTAAGAATTTAAGATTTCTGATGTATATTCCACGGTTCCTAACATGTTGTTTCCAGTAGATGCTTTAAGAACTGATTGTCCTATGCATGTAAAAGGATACATTTCTCTTCCTACAGAGTGTATGTTCTCAGGTGCAGTGCAACCAAGAGCATGGTATTTATCTCCTGTGTATGCTCATTGTGGTCAATATTGCATTTCTGAATGTCTCCTAGGCTTTTATATGCCATATAGCAAATAATAAAGCTGAGATAACCTATATTAAGGATTACTCTCTCAGAGAGAAGACAGTCTAGGACATTCTCTTTTCCCTTTACTTACAATCCATAGTTTATCTGTAACTCATGTTTGTAAATGTAGGTAATAAACATATATCAGATCTGTTGTGTTACCTGCTTTAGGACCTTTATGTGATCACCTGTGGGTGTCTGTAGTGTAGATGTCCAGACATCTTACATTCAATGGAAAGAAACAGCCCTTTCTAGGATAAAGTTTGCCTTCTCATGAAGTCATATCTAACACCGTTCAAATGAGACGCAGTGCAAAACTGCCTGTTTCTTCTCACTGCCTGCAAAGAGAGTTGAGTGTGATTAGCTCAGAGTTAAATATCTATAGTGTATAAGTGGGTAAGATAAATATTACTTTATGTGGATTTTCAGGTGGTATGGAGAGATGTATAGAGAAATATCACAGTAGCATGGTTCCATGCTACCATGGAACAAGACAGCATGATACAACAAAATGTGACATTAAAAAAATTCTGGTCAGTAAGCTCTCAGCAAAATCCAGATGGGAGTGGTACGTTTCTGGATGTCAGCTGTGTACAGCTAATATTGATTTGAGCAGATATGTATTTGTATTTTGCCTGTCCTTTACACCTGATTGTTCATGTTATCATTTAATATTATGGGCCTGACTGTGACCTTGTGCTGTCACAAAGTAAATTAAGCCTGTCACATATCAAAACAATGCAATGCAATGTGTATTTGGTAAGGTATGAAGAAAGATCTAATGGCTAGGAAGACCTGGATATGGTTCTTGCCTCTACCTCAGGTGTCCTGTTTGACTTTAGGAACCCCCTTAGATTCTCTGGGCCTTAGTTTTCATCTTCATTTGTCATCACATTTCTAATTTGCAGGGGTTAGGAGATATCAAAAGAAAGGAAGCCCTTGAGTAGATGAATAATGTTTATCACCAGTCATGTTTCAGCCATCCTTGTTCTGTACATTCTTGGGACAACTGATGGCTTAATTCTACTTTGAGTTGAAGCTTCTGGAGTCCCAATACTGGCTGTTGTAGTGTGAGATTAAGTAATATGCAGTTCACTACAGCTGTAGCCTTCTAACTTTCAGGGCTTGGTGGGTCCAAATATTTATGCGTTGCTCTTAAGACATTTAAGAGATTTACATTTTATGTAAATTATGGCTTATATCACAAGTGAAAACAACAATGACAAATTTCCCATCCATCAGTGAGTCACCTCATTCTGAATTAGCTGTCTTTGCCTGAGAAGATGCAATAGAGGTGTTTCTTGGGGTCACAATAGCACTGTGAAGAGAAAACTCACAAAGCACCTGACTGTAGAATCACAGGCTTTAACTAGGGCAACAAGTTCTTTGATGGATGAATACTATTGTTGCGTGTTACTTGATTATATTCGTGGAATATAATCCTTGTTTCTTTGGAGAGTTCACACCCTCATGGGGCCGTGGTAGGTCAGGAGGAGGAATGCACTGACAAAGCTGTACTGTGTCTTCTGCAATAGCCCAGTTCCAGGTGTGCTTAAAGCCTAGTTAATAAACAAGAATAAAAAGGAGGTATGCCACATTACAAGCTTAGTCCCTCTGCAGTTTTTTAGAGCTGTTAGTCACTGGCACCTCTCTATCTTGAACTGAATTGTAACTAGCAGGCCCAGCATATTGGCCGTAAATCTGATGATGATAGCAGATAAAGGGAAAATGCCCTAGGAAGGTAGTCCCTTCCCACCCACTTGTTGTCAAATATGAGGAAGCAGAGATTTTAAATGGAAGTTGAATGTTTAGGAGAAAAAGACCTTGCCATAAATGTTATTAAAAATGGAGAAGAGGTGAAAGCAATGCTGGCTTAGAGTCTTTTCTGAAACTTCTACTTCCCAGCAAAGGAGAACAAAAAAATTCCAAACCCTTTCTATCTAGAGGATTGTTACAGATTTTGTCAAGTAAAAGCTACGGATTAATCAGGACACAAATAGTCTTGTTATTGTTAACATTTTTATAATGGTTATTAGTTAATGCGCATGATGATTAAGGGCTGGAGCTGCCTCTGATTGCAGTCAGTGGGAACTGAAGTAAGGTCTAAATGACTGTTTGAACCTCACTTTTGATTTCCTGAAAAATAATGAGGCTTTGAACAGAACAGCATCTAATTTGTCTATCACTGGACAAGAATGTTTCTCTTCCCTCATGCATAACTTGGAGATCAGGCAGCTAACAAGAAACTGATTGTTTAACCCTTAGCCTTAATCTAGGATTATGACTTGGATGATAGGACCAAGACCAGAAACAAGGCTGATTGTCAGAGATGTCACTGAGGCTGCTGTACAATGGGATTGGCACATACTTGCAGTCAGTGCTGCCATAATTCAGACTGCCCATCAATTCACTGGCCATTTGGAATGTCCCTGGGAGTTGTCGAGGCCAGCAGTGCCAGTCCAGGGCAACCTCAGCAATGGAAGCAAAGCTTGAGTTCATAAACCTCTTATTTGCAGTGTTCAATGTCTTTATGTTGTTGCTTGTTAATTCAAAGTGAATAAATAGTCATTTTCTGAGTCAGTCTGACATTTCTTTTATTGATGTAACACTGTTTTTATTATATTAGAAGTGATAAAATGTCTCAGGATGAAATGGGTTTTTAAAATTTCTTAATTAATGAGGGACTATTGATCATGAAGAGTGTCAATTACGCAAATGTGCATAAAATGTCCAATATAAAGGAACAGCTGTAATTAGTACGCTGGTAAACACTGTTATCCCATAAATTAGTCTTCTGTATCCCACCCAGAACTGAAATGCATCCTTCTGACCAAACCAGGAGACACATCAAAATGTCAGGCACCAACGACAACAGAAACAAGTCTAGGTGGAAAGAAGTGAAGGGGTCAGAAATAAAGAACTCCTAGTACTATAGCATTGATTTGATAAGATGGTAGAATCTCTTTCAAATTTTCAAGTTTATTTTGGGTAAAACTCCAAAATGCTTTGAAAATGATCAGCTCTTACTTGTGAGCATGAGTTTATGTCCAGCTAAACAGGATATCCTGTGGAATTAATGTCTCAGAGATTCATGGTATCTGTTGTTTTTAATGCCTTTATATCAATCTGTCTTTTACAGGTCTATGATGGGGTCCAGTAGAGAGCCTGATCTTGTGCACCTGGAGGCAAAGACAGTGGATGGTCGTAAGTACATCAGCTTCCAAACATTGTGGTATTCTGGACTGCCCTCATATTCTTGTAACCACACAACATCGTGATGGAAATCTGGCTTGCCTTTAGTGATTCACTCACTTAATTATGAGGGGTTTGACTGTTCCAAGACAGGTCTGTTAGAAGAGAAATCTTTCCAGCAAGGCAAAAAGTTGGGTTAACAGGTAGTGAAAGGAATATGGTAAGGAAGAATAGGTGATAAGCAGTAATTTGAGTTAGTATATACAGTACTTTTCTTCCTTCCTACGTGATTTTTGTTCATGGGAACATGACATTGGAGAGAAGTTCCTGGATCACAGAGTCTAGCTGCTGTTGTCTCACACAGTACATGATATCACCTTGTTCATAGCTTTACAGTTTTAACAGACCAGGGATACTCTGCCTTAGGTACTACCTTTGAAAATACCTAATTTCCCTCACGTTAGAAACCTTTTAGTGACCAACCTAAGTGTATTCTTCACTGTTATTGCTTGTCCTGTCATTGTCCTTCACTTTCATCAGCTCCTCTCCTTCGCTACTTTGCCTCTTGAGGTGCTTTTCTCCATTTCAGGAGCCTCCTTTACCTGTAAGTCCAAAATAGTCTCCTAATTGGCTGTAAATTCTCTCAGGCACACTGAGCCACTGGCTGGCCTCTTCTCCTCCCACCCATGCTTCATTAAGGTTTATCTTTGAGCTCTACTGCCTTTGCAGATCTTCCTCCATGGATTTCTTTTCCACAACACTGGATTGCCTCAGGCAGGCATCACGCTGAAAGCCCTGGCTGCCATAGATCTTGTCATTGTAATTCCATATTGTTTTGTCTGTAAACAGAAGCTTTGCTGCAACATAACAAGCAGGTTTTTACCATTTGCAATATATAAGTATTAATGATGCAGTCAATTAATTCCTATAAAAATTGATTAAATTCTCCCCTGAATTGTACCCCCAAATGCAATGGTGTTACTCAAAATGTGTATTTAGTCATTGGATACTTAAAAGCTGTCTGAAAAGGTAACTGTAAGGTACTAAGTTTCTTAACTCACAGAAATTTAGCATGAAAGAGAAGTTTTTGGAAGATTAATTTTGAAAAGAAACAGTTGCGATAGAAACCATAAAATTTTAATGGTCTTTCCATTTCAAGATATGCAAGATTAGTAAAAGTGAAAGAATGTATTATCTCTATTTCTTATCATTTGTGATCTCTGATTATTATTTCTCCTTAAATTTCACTTACCTGAACATGCTGGCAAGGCTGGGAACATGAGGCTTTCTTGGGATATGCTAAATGAGAATGAAATATTCTAGCAGGACAGTGTCTATTTCAGCACAAAATATTACTGTTCTAAGGCATTAAGAATTTGAGGTCATTGAGACGAAGCACTACGATCAATGTTTACGGAGCTATACTCTGGTGATGCTTTTGAAGGATGTTCAGTTCACAGTGGGCAGAGAAGGTGCCATGCTCCAAATGGTATGAATGGTCTTGTTTGAGTTCTTAGGCTGTAACAAGAACATTTTGCGAAGCTATATCACATTTCTGCAAAGGACTTCTTGAGTGCTTAACAAATTGGTAAGCTTTATTACAGCTCTTAAGGTGGAAACCAAAAAACAGGCAGGCAAAACTGGCCTCATTGGAGAGCCAGATGTATTAGTAAAGGATTGTGGAATAAAAAATTATCACTCAACAGCTGAGCTCTAGTAACTGATTCTGCACACTTATTTTGGCTTAGTTGTGAGGCAGCACAACTTAAGTTTCTCTGTTTAGGCAGTGACAGAACTACTAGTGTAAATATAGCGGTGGTGTCAAACCTTCAGCTAATGGTTACACCTCTTGCAAACTAGTCATTTGGATGAAACTTCTTTTGATGAGTCAGGAGGTCTCCAGTTCAGCTCATTGGCAATATAAGAAAATGTGTTAGATTTTCATCAAGGGCATGCTCTGTTTTGCCCATTTTTCCAGGGAGCATTGGTCTCTGGCAGAGGACTACAGTGGGCAGCTAGAAACAGTAACCTTGGGACATACCACAGCATTTTTTTTGCTGGAAGGCATTTGGCAGCACTGCAGGTCACAGGATTTTGAGACTGAGGCAGGCTAAGAGTGTACACATGGTCCATTACTCTAGTTACCATGACCAACTTGGTATATTCAGGCCTCTTGGCTACTAGAACCTTCTTTTAAGTACTAAAGCAGTCTCCTTTTCCTGGATGAAGTAACCATGATGCTCCAGTGGATGAACAAACCTTTATCCTCTGGAGTGAAGCGGGTGTGTCACTGCCAGTGGGGTGATGGGGTGAAGTGTGCTGAAGTGAGAAAAATATCTTTTTTTTTCAAGCTGAGAGTAATTTGCAAATAATTTTTCTTGGGTTTTTTTTGTGTTGTTTTTTTTTTTTAATGTTCTTGCATTTACTTATTTATACTTTGTTTGGAATATCTCTTTTGAGAGTTAACCAAGTGTAAAAATTCAATAAAGGGATTAAATTTGAGAAGGTAGACGTGCCAAAACAAAACAGGGAGAAATAAGGAAAGAAAGAAACAACCACACAATCTGTACAATAAAATAAAAGATCCTGAAGTGGAAATATAAGAGCTAAG